ACACGCGTCAATACAATAAACAAACTCCTACATTTATGCTGAATCCATCTGCGGCTCTATTATATATAATCAACGCGGTTGCTAACAAACTCAATTGAAACCTATGAAAATTTACAATCTCCCATTAACATATGTATAATTTCACAGCTGCAGTTACACGCTAAGTTGTGCATCTGTAACTGTCCAAAGAACAACGCAAATCGCAAATCTGTCAATTTTCATCAATTTCAAATGAGAATGGTTAGCAACTAACGTTGCATAATCTAGTCTCTAACCACACAGGGCATCGAAGACTGAACAAACATTGCATAAACTCTTCTATTAAACACAAACGCTAGAAATTAACCAATTACTATGAATTATCTAATAATGAAATATTGACTGTATAAGGCAATTTGACTTTGAAATGTCCATGAATGAATGAAAATAACACCAACATGTGTACGTAATGACCTATATTTACAGATAGTTTATTCGTATTCCAATTAAAATATAAGTATAAAGAACAAAATAAAGTTTCAACGAGGGGCTATAAAAGCATGTAAAAAAGCATTAGAGACGACGAGATGATATTATTCAATAACAGTTTTTTACGCTTTAAATGCTTTTAAATTGTTGTAACTCCCCGTTTAAAAAGATTGTTTTAAATTACAACGAAAAATTCTATGTACTTCACAAATCTCATCCCTATGTCGTCGCACTTGTGAACAAAATTTTAATAAGCATCTATAAAGAGAATGCGTAAATCTCGCTGTTATTTATGAATAACATTATTAAATATCACGTTGTATTATCACTTACGATATCAACTTTATTGCACACATGTGATGTGATGGACACACTATACAGGCAGTGTTCGATTAATAATGATCTATAAAATCTTCAAATAGATAATTAAGTATCAAAAATAAATCGATTATCTATTACGTTATAAAGAACTTTCGATAGTTATTTTACAAACCCGGCCGTAAGCGGTGCCAACGAAATTGTGCTTTATCGTAAACAATTAAAGTGCGTTTTTACATTTATTTAACGCGGATGTAGAATGCGTTTCGTGGTTTGTACAGAGAAAACTATCGGAGTTGCTTTAGCGCAATTCGCTCGTAAAGCACAATCTAATTAGTTTTATAGAATCTTAGCAACTATTGTCGCTAAGTAATAATAATATGTCTGACAGAATTGGGGTCAAGAAGCTTGTAACAAAACAGAGCTCGCATTGTAAAACCAAATTAAAGTCAATAAATTTGAACTGGTACCGTTCATTTTCTATTATGCTTACACTTCCATGAGATTAGACATGAGTAGGCGATAAAAAGAGGAACAAAATACCGTCGACATATCTTCCATCTCGCTTTCATATAACAGTGGCCGTGATGTGAAAGCGAGATAGAAATAGGTGACTTTCTATCAAGAACAAATTTATTAACATTAATTCAGTTTTTGTTGCAATCACCGTTATTTATAAACTTTTTGATACAAATATAACAATACTAAACACCACTAGGTTGGCACAACATATTCATACATACTTGCGAGTAAATATTTACTAAATAAATTATAGAAAACATAGATTAATATATACTTACTGCCAGTTAAAAAAACGATGATTATAAGTCAAACATTTCTCGTCTCACTGATCCTTATACAACAATTATGCGGTCAAAACAAGAGGGAAATCATGAAAATGCGTGTCTATGGGATTACGAGCGGTACGCACATACACTATCAAGTATAAGTTTTATTTTGCGTATTTTTAATTAAACTTCATATAGGTATAATATATTGAGCGAGATTAGTATACTAAACATTATAAATGTTAACATAGTTTAATGTCATTCTTTGAAGATTTTGCACAACCCTTAGATATGTGTTAGAAAAATTATAAAAAAAAAATAGTAACTGACAAATAAATAGCCTGCTCTTAAAGAGTATTTTATGTTTATTAACTGTATATCTTATATATAATAAAATCCTTTTGTTTATTAGTTATTATACAAATAATTCCGAATACGACGCTTTGTTATGTATGGTCTAAATATTCTATGCAAAGTTTAAAACACTATTGTTTTAATGGACACATGTTGGAAATTTCAAATTCATAAAAGTAGTTTGTTTATCATCTACGTCTTACGCCATGTATATGACCTAAAATTTCTATTTACGCCAGTTAATTTTTTTATAACAAATTATTTCAACTTTGGTGGTTTATTGGTTTAGCACACCGCTTTACTTTCGATAGTCGCAGGTTTTATTCCTAGCACGGTACAAACATTTGTACCGGCCTGGGTGTTTTCTATGTGTTTACAAAAAAAAAGTAGCTAAGTATTGACAACTGATACACAGTTGTCTAGTACCCATAACTAAATACAAAATATAGTTACTGGATGACGTTGTGTAAATTATCCAGGGGTATTATAATTATTTCTAATATTACGTCATGAAAAAAAAATTAAATTCAAATTAGTAATTATTAATTCAAATTAACGCACCCTAATGTTAGATCCGCCCGTAGTCTATTCCACTCAAATATCATATTTCCCACTTGCCCGGACCGCTGTATCCATACATCGCATTACACTCCAATAAAATATCATACACATAATAAATACAGTGGAGGAATTTAAAACATTAATTGGTAAATGGACGTTTGACACATTCTCCCACACAAGGACGTCATATTATCATTACACTCCATACATTACTGATGAATATATAAAAGTAGCGAACTGCGCAAAGTCAATTCTAAACGACGATAGCGCACAAAAAATTCACAAACATTATCCAAATGGAAATAGCGCTGAAAACGCTAAATTAATACCGATAAATTTAAAACACGTCATCATTCCTTGTCCATTCCATATCTTCTATCTCGCTTGCACCTCAAGAGTACTTGGATGGCTAGAAAAGGCGAGAAATATAACGTTTTTCAAAGTCAAATTTATTGGCATCAATTCTATACCACTTGGATAATTCACTATAAGCACAGTAGCTTACACATAACGCCATCTACGTTCGGAGTTTGATTTTCGTAGTCAACTAACATTAATTAGCACTTTACCGTACATTCCTCTACTGTACAGTCAATGAAAAACTAAAGCCTAAATCGGACTGCTTTAGTAATTTAGTCTAATAAGCCAGTAATTTAGCAGCAAAACGCATCTGAGAAACAAAACTCCAGTCGACTTGTAACAGTATTTCTATTAATAAATTACTAGATATTTGACTGAATTCTTACTACAATCCGAATTAAGCGTAATCCGTAAATATGCCGACAAACTAGATTGGAAAAATATTTCATCTTTATCGTTTTAAATATAATTTTATTGACACAATAAGCGTAGTACCGAGTGGGATGCACTCGACTTTATTTACTGAACCAATGGTTTATAATTACAACTACTTACATTATTAGATTCGCATGATAAACCACTATGAAACACGTGAAAGGTAAACATTTGATTGCACAAGTTGTATTAACAATAATGTCAGAAAATCTTCGATACATTCGAACTTCAATACTACATTATTTTCCTGTAAACACATCAATCCTCAGCTGTTTCCGATTCACTGGAAAATATTAGATTAAATCAATATATATAATTAAACTGCGTTAAATAGGTTGTTCGAAGCTTAATCTATTTCATATCATATATAAATAACTATTGAGCATACAAAAGTCTACACGAATAACTAGTTAACGGCTGAAAACGGTCCGCAGATGTGAGTTTATTGAGTCTAGCTCCTACACTAGGGATAAAGATGTAACCCGGTTAGTTATTCTGTGCAAAAGAACGCTGGATAATATTATACCTAATTCGGTTAAATTACAATTTAAATAAGTATTTATTTATTTATAATGTAAATTTTTAACTTGAGAAACGTTTATGAGTTAATTAAAAATGTCTAACAAACTAAATATTAATTACAATAGTCACAATTGCTTATAAACAGCATTGTTCTTATCATTTAAAAGTATAATAATGTATATTATAGAACAAAAACAATGGCGTTATATGATTATAATTTCTAATTTCTTTAGTTTTGCTGTTTATTCTATTATGCTTTACTGATGTCTCACCAGTTAGTGCAGGCGGAAGTAAAAAAATAAATAAAAAGGATGCGTATGTTACGTAATTTATTCATTGACATTTTAGAACTGTTCTAAGTTGGCCGCAGCTGGCCTTTACAGCTTCACCGGACGGTAGTGCATATGAAATATAATGGAGGGGTATACAAAAATAAAGTATGATGGATTTTTAGAGATTCACATCTTTAACCGTACCGTATAAATTACAGCTTATAAGACAAAGATGAACATATACAGCCGTCTTTGTCTATAAAGCAGTAAATAATGTGCGCCTAACTCAAGCAACTCAATCATTTACGGTTGAACATAATATATATTACTGTAGTACTCTCAATCCAGTGAATATTCGGTGTACAGCTTTAGCACATACAAATTGTACATTACTTACACAACGACCATACATACATACGAGACGAATGCGTTTTGATTTTGGAATACTGATAAAGTTTGATTTGTATGTAAAAAATATACACGATTTAGAAGTGAATTCATTGACGCATTCGTCTCGCATTTTAAACCCACTAACGACTTTCTATATCGAACATACCTATGTACAGTCACGTTCATAAATCTATACACGATCAACATATATAACGGTTCGGTAAGTCCTCAACGGTGAGATAGGCACATATGGGTCGATGAAGCGAAATTCGATACCATTCCATAATCGAAAATACACATTCATTCATTATAAACTGCCACATAGATGCATATCTCGCAACCTATTATCACAAAATCGTTATTTTACAACGAGCAAAGACCGACAGAGATAGTCATATAAATTTCTTTTATAAATATGTGATGTTTTATTGACGTCGACGACATCGGTGGTGTAGCAGTGTATTACACTGCTTTACCTATCGATGTCGCAGGTTTGTTATGATAGAAACATAAACATTTTTATTCATGATTATTATTTTGATCTAGTTATTTTTGACTACATAACAAAATATTCAAAATAAACAATTACCTACTATCCGCAGCACTTTGCGACTATATACCTCTACTTGTTACTAATGGTATTAATCTCTGTCTCAACTCTACAGCTCGGTAAAATACCGGTGGTGTGAGAGGGTTTACTCGCGTCGGACGTAGAGTATCGTGGAGCGGTCCGGCCCCTAGGTGGACTTCTTGGCGTTGGTGGTGGGGTCCCTGGGGTCCCTGGGGTCCCGAGGGTCCCTGGGGTCCCTGGCGTGCGCGTCGCGGGCGTCGCGTGCGTGCGCGTGTCGACGTCGGGCGGCGCGCGGCGACGCGTGCTACCTGCGCCCGATGAGTCCGTTGGAGTTGCCGCTCGCGCTCGGGCACATCTCCAGCTCCACCAGAAGAGGGAAATGATCTGCGGAAACGACATAATAATTATTATAATCTCTCGGCACAATATACGCGGCGCCATCTAGAGCTTGTGTTATGGGTACTAGACAACTGATATAAATACGTAGATACATTTTTTTATCTCTCAGCATAGTTTACACAGCGCCATCTAGTCCCGAATTAAACACATCTTGTGTTATGGGTACTAGACAACTGATATACATTTTTTTGTAAATACATACATATTATACATAGAAAACACCCAGACCGATACAAACAGTCGTACTCGTGAATACAAATGTTTGTACCGCGCGAGGAATTGAACCCGCGACAATCGGAAGTAAGGCGGTGTACTAAACCGCTAGAGCACCGAGGCAGTCATATACCTTCAAGAATGTTCATTATTCATGTTTCATCTTAGAGGAGGTAGAGGTAGACAGAGGTATTTGTCCACTGTCGACATCGTAGTGAACGCAACTGCAAAGAATATGTTCGATAACAGAATAAAAAAAATATGTCATAAATTCAACAAGTAGTAAATTATATTAAAAAAAACCCAATATAAAGAGTTGTAGAAATTCTTTCCTCAACTAGAAAAATAATTGTCTTCAAACGACTGAATATATGTTTATAAATTATTCGTATCAAATATATATGCTTCGTAGGTGGTTCTGTTTGGAAGCTATGATGCCTCTGACAAACACACAGATCTGTGTATCTGTTCTATTACAATAAAAATAAAACGTTTATCTTAAAAAAAAAAAAAAACATTCGCCGGGCGTATAAAAGGAGTATAAACACAGGAACTAAAGACAAAAATATTATGTAATGTAATGTAATGTAAATGTAAATGTATATAAACAAAAGTCGCATCTGTTATACCACTTATCAGATGGTAAGAAGTTCGTCGGGACAACTAGATAAAAAAAAAAACAATCGCTAAGAATGACACAAGTTCTTAAGTTAGGCTAAGTTTTACATCACATAATAAATACCATGTTCTTAGTTATCTGTCTATTAAAAAACTTCAATCCGGAGGTAGTCGCTTCCGGAATCGAATCATGGCAAAGGGAGTGGCCCTGAGGCCACAAAATTCACCCCCCTAGGTAGATGCGTATGACCCATGTCAGTCAGTCAATATAAACAATATTTCCATTTCATCGATCCCCCGTCCATTTGAAATGGGAATCGAAAACACGATGGCATGTGCCGCGGGTTTGGAGTGCCATCTGCACTCGCCTCCTATCGTCCGGTAAAGCTGTAAAGGCCAGCTGCGGCCAAGAGCATTAAGAGTAGTACGAAAAAAAAATTTTATGGTATAACAGCATGTAGAATCTACTGCTAATTCTATTATTGGTTATAAGTGTTTTTCATTCCTCCTTATGTATTTTAGTATAGAACAATGTGGTTAATGACGTCACCTGATGGTATATGAGGGTGTGGACAGCCGACGACCTTGTGTTCCCGGAACCAATCTTGTGAAAGTGGTCCTAGGAGACCGAGGGGCGTCATTGACTGCTTGCTATAGAATATGTAGTCGATTATACCTTTGAAATCAAAGCTGAAACAAAAATAAAATAAAATTAGTATTTGTACATACCTATTCATTAATATTTTAGTGTGCCCTCGAGGTAGAATATTAAATTATGTTTCAATTATAAGAAATAGTATATTCAAATTATGTTAGTATAATTAAGTTCTTGATAGAATATTAGAAATTAAAAAGATACTCTATTTATTTTTCATAATTATATCGGTGGTCTCACAGTTGAGTACAGCACCTTACTTCAGATGGTCGCGAGTTCGATTCCTCGTATAGTGCAAAACATTTGTTAAAACATTTGTTATCATGAGTATGATTGTTTGTATACATAATACACATAGAAAATTCCCAGGTTTTCTATGCATATTATTCATGTATTTACAAAAAATGATTTTAAGAATTTCTATAGTTGTCTAGTACCTATAACACATGCTCTGCTTAGCTTGGGACCAGATGGTGCTATGTTTACTGTCTAGTGTTATTAATATATCATATCTTCAAACCAATAACGTGTAGTAAAAAAATATATAAACATATGGGTAATGTATCTATGTATTTATATCAGTTGTCTAGTACCCGTAACAACAGCTCTGCATAGCTTGGAAATAGTTTGCTCTGTGAGTCCTCATCGTGTTATTTTTACACTAACATATGTATTGCTTACTGCTTTGTATACAATGTTTTGGCCGTGCGTTAATAAACAGTCAGTACAAACGATTTTATAACTACAGACGTTCGCATCGCCTCAACTGCCGTTTCATTGTAACCCGAGCCTAAGCAGTATAATTTCGTATACGATACAAGGAATCAGAACGCGGGTAGCTCTTAGGGTTATTCACAAAAATGGGCACGACCGCGTAATGGTTGCGTGTGTGCGAGCCGTTAGCCACTGATGTTATTATACTCGTTATAATATCTCAACTTGTAGCTGACATAATTAATGATAGGTGAGCAAAGGTCGACGGACTTTATTTTGCATTGTAAAGGCGTGTGCACATTACGGCAAGCTCGACCAGCGCACTGCGTATCGCAAACGTTAGTTTCATAGAGTCACAATATAATATCTTTATATTAAGATATTAATTAAATATAAAAAAAAAGCTTTTCTATATCAATAGCTTTATTAGGTAAGATATTTCGTTACAATGCAATATAAAGTCCGTGGATTGCATTGTAAAGGCGAGCGCACATTACGACAAGCCAGGCTGTATTGTACCTCGTACTAGTTAGTTTTATAGTCTTATATACTTTTGTATAATCATTTTATAGTTCATGGTATAATGTGTAAATTAATCTTATAAATTAAATTAAAAATAATAATAATTAAATTAATAAACTCCACAACAACAACATATTTTTCTAACAGTACAAGTCTCCTATCTTCGAATATTTGAAATAAATTTGTATAAGAAACGATTTTTGATGTCAGTAGGCGCGTATAACTCAGTAGTTATTGCTTTACGTCGGGGTTGTGTTCAACTAAATAAAGATCAATTTGATACCACCTCAAAACCTTACAAACGTCCAATTGTGATAACGATCTTGAATTCATTGTACAAATTGGTGTACAGCGGAAATAAACACGGAAATTATGTATCTGGAATACAGTTACTTGACGGCCTCTGTGGTCTAGCGGTTTAGCACACCGACTTCCGATGGTCGCGGGTTCGTTTCCTCGCACGGTGCAAACATTGTATGATTGTTTGTATCGGTCTCGGTGTTTTCTATTGTAGCGCGGTGGTTATCACCTCACCACTGTAGCGTTATATATGATGTGATGAAGTGTCGCTACATAATTTATTGTTTATTATAATATGTAGACAGTGAGAGTACCGGTGAAATAATCGTACTATTTACTGTTCATTAGTAAGTTTATATGGTACACTACTACACGTCTTATTAGTAACGCGTTTATTCGACGCGGAGTCGGGACGTAGACTGGTTTTACATTTACGTCATCTGGATACGTAAACTAATGAAAGGGACTCAAGTATTGACAGAAATATTACATATGTAGGTACATTATAATAATAATATAATACTTACGTATAGTTAGTGTAGGGCATGATATCCTCGCTGTATGCGGATGCGAGCTTGAAGTTGTGCGTGAACTCCCGCTCTGAGCTGGGCATGCGTCTCAGCGACGTCGCGTATCCGAGCTCTTTGAAATCGCGATGGTCGGCCGGTACACGGCCCGACGAAAGGAACTCCACCACGCCTGCAAAGGCATCAATATTATCTCATCCTCAGCTCTCAGCCTCATTAATATTATTTTCTAATTTTATGAGACTATAACATCTTATTAATGTTATAAATGCGAAAGTTTGTGAGTATGGACTATGGGTGAATTGTTGTTTTTCACGCAAAAACTATTGAATGGATGAAACAATTTGATGAAACTTTATCGTAATATAGCTTATACATCAGATTAACACACCGGCTACAAATTTCACACAGGTAAAGCTGCGGGCACAGCTAGTAAACTATAAGTGTGCGAAATTTCATACTTATCAGTCCGCGTAACACTCGTAAAAAGCCTACACAATTTTAGCTTCACGTATTAATATATCTATATATAATATTCTCAATGGACAATCAACGCTCATGAGAGTTTTTCGTTTCATTATTTAGTTCAAATCATAATTTTCCGTCATTTCATTTGTTGCATTAATTTTCATTAATATAATTTTATTCCATATCAAGTGAATTAGGTGTATGTAGACACTGACCGCTGTCGGGGAGCGAGTTGAAGTCACCGCAGAGCAGTAGCTGCACGTTGTCGCGCTGGCCGGCGAGGCGCAGGGTCCGCGCCGAGTCGTCCAGTATCGTGCGCAGCTCGTTGCTGAGCATCATCGTCTGGATTAGCTTCACGTCGCAGAACTCTGGGTCCCAGTGGATGTGGGCGGTGCACACCAGGATCGGCTGGCCGAGCACTGACGAATCTGTTGGTATTCCTGCAAATATGGTTATCACAATAGTATTATATTCACGACTGGTCATCCAGATCGGGTGGTCAGAGGCATATTATAATGGATGAATAAGGAATGGTGATCCATTTGGGCTGACGCTGTACGCTTTTAGGTTACTAGATAATATAAAGAGGTGTTCTAAAATGAAACTTTTTGATAATATTTTTTTATACATTTTATTGTATTTCGTATTCTGACGTTCAAGTTCTATTTTTGATTACTATTATTTCTATAGATAATTGTACTACATTTCTGTGTGAAACTGCAAATAAATAGAGACAAGGAACGTGTCTCATTTTAATGAGTGGTTTCCTGGTTTCATTTTAAATACAGCAGGAATTAACTAACGGCAATCCTCGCAGGGCACTGTCAACAGTCTATATGCATCCACATATAGGCATGTCAAGTATTACGTTTATTTGTGTAAAGAGAACTACCACAATTAGTGCGACCTATCTCGGTTTAAATTTTTAGTTTGATATAGCGAGACACAAATTATTTTTTGTGTCGGCTAGATTTGAACTCACGCCTTTTTCGGTGTCAGTCGGAATAGTAAACGACTAGACCACGACCCTCTCTGTTATTTCAATAATTTTATGATAATCTACATCAATAAATAGTCATTAAAAATAAGGCTACAAGAAGCATCGCAGCTTCTTAAAAAGGTACAAAAATTGGTCCTTCGAGTTATGTATCCGACTTTAATTATATATATTAATCCAAAATAGGTAATACGCACCATTTTCCCACGCAGCTTCTTTCGTTTTTATTAATGCCGCTAATCCTATGTTGTCTTTCGGCATCACACGATTTAACATGTTATCTGAACCTTCACTATTTGCCATCGCTAATTGATTGAACTCTATAAGGTGCTCTTTTACTAAAGAAAACCTGAAAAAACAAAACAGTTTCTATTTAAGAGAAAATTTACACCAAAATATTAAGAAAGACGATATGGCTTTCTTAATATTTTGGTAATTTTTAACACAGAGCGTATATTACTAATTATATAAGAAAAATAATTACATACTAGCAACCACCGCCTAATATTGCACTGGTGCAAATATTGCATGATTTTATTTTTTAATAACGACATTTAAACAATTCAGCAAACATAGAGTACTCGTAGATAGCGGGGCAGATTCTGTAGGTGAAAAATCTTTTAAAATCTTTTAAATTCCACCAAGTGCCCTGTACATCAGCTTGTTTCTCATGCTAGTTATATAAAAAAAGCTGACCCGGTATGTACGTATTTTTTATTGCCACATAATAAAAAGAAGATATACTTACTTGGCAGATCTAAAAAATATAGCGCATCCGTCGACATACTTCCTCTCCGACTCGGACATGGTCTTCGCCCGAGACTTGGGCGAGAAGATACCGTCGTAACCGTCCTGTTTCAATTCTGGCAGAAAGAAATTGTAGAACTGGTCTGTCTCCACTTCCTGTTAGGAAAACAATGTCAGTCAAATACATGTAGCAATTTACTGATAGATTAAACTATTAAAGATTACCATGATCGTCTATTACTATTTTAATAATGGATATCTCACACAGCGCCTTTAGTACCAAACTAATAAGAGTTTACTATGAATACTACGCAGTAGATAGAAATATGACAAATAATATAACATAATACAAAAAATACTCTTCGATCAATGAACAGAATAAAAAAATGTTTATATTGTGCGGTGATCAAACTCGCGATATAAGAAAGAAAGGGAGCGCGCTAAACTACGCGTCGCATATATCGAGGTCGCATTATAATACCTTCAAATTAGTATATATGTAAGCAAATTCTATCAACATTATAAAACATAAAATGTACTAAGATATTTGCAAAATATGCGTGCGTGCGTTTGTAAATCGCATCTAACTCGTATTTCATAATTATACATCTTAGACTAGCTTCGGGATATAGTCATGAGCATATATTTTAGTAAAAAATCCAAAGTAAACACAATGCAGTCAAGAGAATTGCATAAGAACTGACTAACGACAACTACTAATGTTGAAACTTCAAACGGACTTCCTTCGGACTAATGAACTCTTCATAGATCCGATACAGTCGCTCTCAAGAGAGTTGATTAATAATGCTACTACTGTTATTTGACAAACAATATTAAGATGGGTTACTAACCTGTAAGCTAATGATGTCTGCAGAGTAATGTCTAATTTCGTCCAAGATACCTTTCTTTCGGTAATCCCATTCTAAAGCCCAACTAGGGCAGTAGCCGTACATCTGTCTGGTTGCGTATTTGTCACAGAGAACGTTGTAACACATCACCGTGAAGATACCTGAAAAGAGAAACAATAAATCTTTACGTGACTAAGTATACTCTCTTGTGAGTTTCTTTAGAATCGCTTATATTATATCAGCATGTTTCATGACACGCGTGTATCAGACGCCAATTAGTTGTCGCTGGCGCTTTGTTTCCATCGCTCGGGACACATGTTGCGTGTCGGAAAAAAACGTTCCAATTAAAATCTGTCTCGTAATACGCTCTACATGTGTCAGACACGCGACACAATACCTTTTGTTTTTCTAATCGTATATCGCCAGCATCCACAGTGCGATACGTCGTTGCTCTCATATCTCATCTCGCCGAACAATAACGTCGGCTTTTCACCTTACCAGACGAGAACAAAAATGAGCCGTATAGCAGCTGCTCCAGCATCATGTTTTAGCCCTAGAGCTAATCGTGTGGAGTGCATTACTATGATTGTCGATGAGGAAATAACTCACCTATGGCCGTTTATCTTGAAGTAGTATTTAGAGGTTTACAAAACTCATTAACTTCATGTTATTTGTGTTGTACCTGTATGTGCTTAATAACTTTATTAATCTTATTTTCCTTTATACTGTTAGGTATGGCCAATAAACTGACAGACTACTTTATTGAAAGTGGAAAACGTCGGTGTCCTTTCTATGTATATTCTGTCTGTGACGTAGATTATAAGGGAACTAAACTTTGTTATGTTTATATTACTATAAAATATGTATTAGGTATCACGCACATATATAATATTAAATTTATGCCTAATACTTATTATGAAAACGAAACGACACAGAGAGCCTTCTTTATGATCTAAATAGTTTATATTTATTCATTTTGCTAAACTTCATGTCAAAATAAATCAGACAGCTGCTGCTCTATGTTTAGGTACATATACTCATTATTATCACATTACGTCCGACCACGCATAAGAGACGTGAAAAATTAGAACATGATAGGTGCAATACTAGCCGTCAAATAAGTAGGTCTAAATGAGATCAAGTTATATGTATCAACTTATTACATAAACTAACGTAGCACGACCGTGCACTCTCACGGTCCTACACCATTATCTTGGATTTATGCGGACGCGGAGCACTCGCACCCATCTCATTACGCGAATCAAAAGCCGCGCTGAAGGATGAGGGCCGCCCGTCTAAATGTCGACTTCGTGGAAGACCTTGGCGATGCAATTATCTAGATTTAATCTCTCCTACACGCAGTCAATCAACAGATAAAGAAGAACCAGTATAGCATGTAGAACAAAGCGTCGCTGACAGGCGACTGACGGCTGAATGGACAAGACAATACTGGGAGATCTGGCTTTAAGCTGTTGTCGGGACAAATTGATAAGGATCGCAATATGCACTAGCGCTTATGTTAATCTATAAGAGTCAAAGTCACCTGACGACGCCCGGCAACGATCAATGCGGCCGCAGCACGTGCTTCAAATACGTCCATTGTATACTCGATGCGGCGCACTGGGACGTGGCGTACATGCCAAATATCGCGAAACAATATGCGCATCGATAATCGTTCGTTGTTTAAGGAACTATATACGGGCGAGCCAAAATGAAAGCTCCACACCAACGTAACATTAAATGGTAATGTTGTTGAACATGTGGACGCGTGTCTTCATTTCACATAAATCGAAAACGATGATGATGAAATATTACGTGCACGAGGCACGAACAATGGGGGAAGTTGACACTAACAGTGTAGCGACAATATTTGTGATAGGGGCAATGAGCATTGTATTCTATACTTTTTATGTGAAATAACACTTGGGTGGTGGGCGCATCAAAATCAGATATGTCATATATCTTAACATTACATAGGTTACGAGACTGGTGCGGCTCGGGAGGAAAAAAGAAGCAATCGGAAAAGGCGTGGCGGCGGCGGATGTCGGACGACTTGTGAAGCATGTCGCTGCCACCTATATATCTCTTGTGTAGTCAACTAAAGCGATCTCCATACACACAGCACCGGTTATTGTACACATTTTATCGCCTCCTACGTAATGGCTGTCGTGTTATTACATCCCGCAGATGCTGGTTTGAACTGTACATACGTTTATTTTATCTTGCAACCTGCAGTCTTATCTTGGTTCTCATTAGACAGACAATTGTTACCGTTAGAGCGGTTAGTCACGCGCGCGTAATGATTTCTAATATCAATATGATTCGTGAGCTATAGAGACAGGTATTTTTTTACAGAGTAAACATGGATCATTAAAACTGATTTAAGAGTACGAAGATTTCCATTGGATTGGCGTTGTAAAGAACTCATTAGATCGCGTTCGGTCAGAGACCGGCGTAATCGACAATATGACGTAAGAAGTCTCAATAGGTGCTAACAAGATGTTGTTAGTGGTTAGTTGAAACGTAAGACCGGAGCTCGTTGCCTACCACTTCGCTCTATAGATTTCACCTTCAGTTAATGGAAGCGTAACATGCGATTTTGACTGCAAGCTAATTGAGTCGTTGAACGCCTTACAACTCACTGTTGTTCTGTTGCAGCTCATATAATCTACAAAATTGCACTATTCGAAGCGAGTGGCGAGTCTTTGGGACAAAGACCGCATGTTGCCGACTATTGATTTCTAGATAATTTGCATAAGAAAGTCTATAATTACGGTGAGCCGTGCCGTTACATTGAAGTCTAGTGCATTAGATATGAAATATGGCGCCAGTTCTTGTGACCTAACACCTGGATAGACTTCTTGCATTTATAGAGAACAAACATTATATAAATCGATCACTGACCGACCGATGTCTCTATGCTGACAATGTACTCTAATAATCAAGTATGCGCACATATCTAATATTATGAGCATTATATGTACGAACCTGTATTACAGTTATACTAAATTTATTGATATTATTAAATTAATAAATAAACTGGATTGCATGTACATAGCATAGTAACAGTATGTTTGCGGAGACTGCAGCCCAAGATTCATGAATAGACATTAATCAGACTGTAATGCAATTCACTTATCTCTGGGTTCTTCCCAGTGAGAACGCGTGATTTACGTATGGGAAGTATAAACCTGGCCACGTAGAAATAAATGAAGACAGAATAGTCTAAGACGGCATCGTAATCCCGGTTGTAATCTAAATTGAACATTATGCAATGAGCAAATTGATTCACTGTGTTTTTTAAATTACATACACATTCAATTTAGTCTTTATTTTGAATAAGGTTTAGTTAAGATTTTACGAGTCAACGACACGATAGATCTCAATTTTTGTTTCTATTACAGACGAAATTACATTAAGATGAATATACCTTAACGATAAGTATTATTAACATTTATAACGACATGACGGGTTGGGCTGATTTATTAAGATGGAGCTCGACTTGTACAAAAACATGCAATCTGCTAAAAGGAGATGCCGAAAGATAGATGTTCGTTGGCAATGTTCATTACTTTTAAGTACAAGGTACAAAATTTTAGGTTACTGGCTTGTGTGGGTGCGTGTATGTGTGATTTGCAGGTTGCAACTTCACGTTTTGGTAGATATTTTGAAAATATTGCAAAACGCTTGTAACCAATTTTTCAGGCAAATGTTGACATCTATAATAATAGAACAACTTTTTATCTAAACTATAATACAATGGAATTGTGTTTTTTTAGTTTGTTAGGCATAAACTCAAATAAATGATCTATTTTTTTTAATTATATCATCTGTAGTAAGCATTATCAGTCAGTACTTAAAACGACGAAATTCTGATGATTCCCTTTTATTTATTGCTTATCACATGAATTAGTTGATACTAATACATGTAAATTTTTAACAGAGTTTAACGAAGAAAACTAAATGTCACATACAATATGTATATATAGTTATTGTTTGTATAGTATACTAGCTGTGCCTGCGGTTTCACCCGCATGAAATTTAAAGCCTATATATTATTCTGATGTTTAAGCTTATATTAACATCAGAATAATATATAGGCTATATAGTATTCTATTATATATATTACTGTAAAGTTTCATCATAATCCGTCCAGTAGTTTTTGTGTGAAAGAGTAACAAACATCCTTCCATACTCACAAACTTTCGCGTTTTTAATATTATTAAGATATATTTATCAGTTTACATTAACATTTAATTGTTTATCATTCGATAACTACGTGATATATTTTATGTTGTGATGATCAGACAGGGTGTTTAACGATGTAATAAAAAAAGCAGTCGTACGCTATCCGCCTCATCTGAATATAATGGAGGGACGCCCGAAGTTGTGTGTATCTTTATTGGCATTGGCATTATGTGTTACGACTTACGACATAAGACGAATTAAAATTTTGTCATTATGTTAATTTTATACAACCGTTTCGCCTCCTAATAATATAAAGAGGAAAGACTTCACTTTTTGTTTATTATACATTATTTTAAAAGTAATTAACCTGTTTTAAATATTTATTCATTTACGGAAAGCTATATTATATCGAGTAATAATATATAAAAAATATATCGATGCTTACAATAATTGCATCCAAGTTATACCGAGGCGACTTACTAGTTATCGCATAAACATTATTGAATATATTGTGTTTAACACATTGCTTAAGTCATAATTTACCTGTTGAATTTGTAAATTTGTAATATAGAGAGAAAATTCTTGAGAAATGTTAAATATTTTATTCAATGTTAATCTTAGATGACGACGAATTGAAACAAGTGCAGTTAATGTTTACATGTACATATATATATGTACACTTAAATTCACTTGAATATATATGTATTCAAGTGACATACATATATATATAGAGAGAGATATTAACATTATTACTTTGTAATTTATATATTTTAGAATTTCAAAGTTAACCGAGAAAGATTGTCTAGACGATTCATTAATCTATATTATTTTAATTTCGAGTCCATCTCTGTACCGCCTACTTCTTGACAGAAAAAGAAAAAAAATTGAAAATCCGCTTTCGGATTTCGGAGAACCAAAAATAAAAAAAAATTGTTAAAGAATCGACTTATAATGCAATAAGTATATACTTATCTGATGGACACACGCTGTACAAGAGATCAGTTTTTATTTAATATTTTTGACCTCATCGTAAGTATGTATTAAATTTTTATGAAATCCTTTTTTAAGAGGGCGATTACATCTCAAGACTCAATAGCGGTTATTTGACGGACGATGTTTATTTTGTCGATTACTCTAGAGCTCGTTTTTATATTTGATTGCAAATAGTTTTTTCTACACTGGCTGCTACGAACCGTGAAGATTATAGACGATTAAATTGAAAGTAAAGTAAATATATATGCGACCGCACAAGACTACAGGTTCACGGATGCAAGGAGGTCGTAGGCTGAATTTCGCATTGTGCATTGTCCGAACACCAATGGCGAGACGAAGGGCATTTCCTTACTTCCTGCCACGTTTGACCATGAGTCCAAATTCAATGAAGTCTAAATTGACCGAATTAAAATTCTTGCTAGTTGTCATCGACTAAATGTATGAAATGACGAAATCTCAAATAAGTAAGATAATTTAAGCAAATTAAAGTGCAATTCTTAATTGTGAAAACAAATTAATTATAAAAATAAATTTAACTGTATAAAACCCCCATGCATGAGTCTGCCACCGGAGGAACCTAAGTTTGCAGCCAGATCTGTATAATCTGAAAGGTACTATATAGGTAATTTTAATTCTCCATCTGGTTGAGATTCGGATGAAAGTAGAGCCCCATAAGGTGAAATGGCCACTTTAAAACATAGGTGGCATAACTGTAAATTGTGACGTAATATGGTATTATTTCCGCCCTCCTTAGTAGGTTACGTTACGTGGGTTATGTTTAATGGGGACGAAGGATCGAATTTTTAATAATAGATCTAGTGGCATCATTGCTCTAACAAAATACCCACCCCGACAGGTCAAACTTCACGCGTTCCACACAGAAACTGTGACGAGCTGACTGACCTAATTTCATGCTCATCGTATTATCCTCCATCAGTGTATACCGATACCTAACGCAGGCAGAACACAGATACAATTTTATTTACTAAAAAAAAAAAACGTAAGTTCAACAGTGATCGAACTTGTTTGTAACTATTGTGGTGATAAAAATAATTGCAACTTTATTCATCATTAAACTAGATGTATGATGTTAAATATTAACTGTTTACATATATTTTCTTCCCGAGCGTTTGCCACGTTTGATTTATGTAAATTGGGCTCGCGCGTCCGCTTCGTGCATCGGTCGGCAGAATGGACTCTAGGCAGCTATGCGTGACAGGAACCACAGCTAGGACGTCAAAACGAGTAATATATTACGAAACGATTAATTTCAACTGAATATATGATGCATTTACACGATAAAAAGTATTCTATAAGAAAAGAACAGTTTACATATCACAATTGTAACTAATATTAAAATTGAATATTAAATAGTATAAACACATAAAAGTCTGCTTTGTGTACTTTCTTTTCTAGTGCAAAAGATTAAATAAATAAAATACTTAACCGAATAAAAAAATACTTCTTCGTATATAGGAACCCACATTATAAGAGCGTAATATGTATGAAAATCCCTAGAATAACTGCCAACGTACTAATCATGGGCAAAATCGAAATTGAACAATAAAAAAGGAAGTAAATCTAAATTTACGATAGAATCTATTTAAAAAATATATAATTAACAAACATCGGTTTTCGCCCGATACGAGAGGTATTTTAATTATTCCAACCAGACAACGGTATAAGACCAAGTCGTAGCTGATCTTCTGTCTGAACCCGGTTCCCGAAGGTCTAGCACGGATGGATAGTATACCGTTGGAGCGGGGCGGCCTCCAGTTTATTATTTATGAGGCAGGCCGCATGCGCCGCGCCCATACGTGCCACCATGACACCTTATTAATGACAAAAGCGTTGTGGCTTGCGAAGCTATAATGTAACAATATTCAAAATAGTTGTGCACTTCTTAGGTATAAATAAAATTATGAAATAGAAACCTGTTGCTTGTGACTTTGAATTAATCGTATAAACAACTGACAAGGAAGATTTATCAGTAGTTAGTTACGATGTAACATGTCATACATATTTAGTAATATTTTAATTATTATACTTTTACTTACATGTCGGACGAGACCTGTTTGGTCGCGTCAGTGGTATCCAAGGCCTCTGTGGTGGTAAAGTGGCAGTAACTGAAACAATTAAAGTAATATATTAATTTTCTTATTCAAAACTCCGCATTATACTAACGATTGAAATCAACATGAAACGGTGATAATGAGGCGTCTATAAACATAGCTTTCTTAATAAACAAAAAAGCTATCGCTATTATTGCAAAATTGTAAATCGAGACTATTCATTATACTCCTAATGTAAATTTGTTTCAAATCTAAGATTTATCAACGAATCTTCATACTTTGACGGAAGCAAAAACTCATTTGTGTAGTAGATTGATTGGCTTTACAATTTCAGTATCAAAATTGCTTTCCTATACAAACAAAGCGTTATAAAAACATAGAGTATTGTTCTCTTTAGTATATGCAATGAAACATCAATTCAAGCGGAAAAGCCGTCTGTGTCTATCGTCACCGCTAGTCCATGGCAACAGCAACGGTATTGGAACCGCATTTGCAAATACAACCGCGGTAAAAACGTAATGACATGGCAGCAATGGAAAAAATCAGCACCGACTACAAAACTGTAGACACGAAACCCAATGACATCATTATGGGTTCAGCGTTTGAAGCGCAAACGACGTATAGTATACAGTCACGTGAGAACAAAATATTAATTTATCATCATAACATGTCGAGTACTTTGCCAAACAAATTGCTGATCATTCATCTCACTTCGAAATATGTCAATGCACCAAAAACGATGATTGCAAATCAATAAGCAAGTCAGATTACATTCATTACCATTTACAATTATTTATTATACTATATTCTTTTTTCAATTATGCGAATTCATTTTTGCAAACAATAATAGAGATACTCGTAAATTGAGAGAAACCAAAAGCTGGTGCGTCATGTGCTAACAGAAAAAAAAGTTTATAGTTCAAACACTTCACAGTTGTATAACACCAAATTATTTAATAATAATACCTCAAGGTTCCAAAATAAATACGTTACTAAAAAAATAAGTATAACGTCTGTGTATACATCCCAACGTTTTACAACAAAGGATAAATGTTATATAAATAAGGCAACAGAAGTAGGATCCTCTTCGCCTACGTGACAATAAGAGCTCAATGTATTACAACTGTTTGCTGGTAGATAAGATAAAAAATAATTTGCAATCAGTTCGTCTCATTGTAAAATGGAATGTAATGTCGAAAAAAAAGGATTACTTTATTTGATCTATAAAGTACACGTTGAATAGCAAAAACCTCAGCGAGTCGTAGAGATTTGGGTGGCAACAAAATCGTGCCCAATCAGGCGTGTATCAAAATATGAAACGTTAGTCTACAGAGCAATTATTATTTGACCATTTGAACCCTAATATTATATCGATGTTAATCTAGATGATATCTGCGTACAAATACATGTAGCAAAAAATTAATTCAAAGATCGTCTTAGTAATTAAATTAGTTGCGGTCACGATTGTATCGGGAGATAATATCAGATGTCGGGGTGTATTAGTAGGTAGGTGTTAAGATAAATGTCTAAAATCCTCCCATAGCTATTGATAAAAGATAAACCACAAAACATTACTACAGTCGTTGGATTTAAAACAGATGATATATCTGACTTTCAATCAATTCTCGTACGAAACAGATTGTATCATATTATAGTTTTAGTGAGAAAATAGATTTTGTTTACAAGTAAGTCTGTCAAATCGTACTTAATCTTGAAAGATTCCAGGAGTCTCAGATAAGAGAGGTCTCGGTATGTTATACCAATCGTACTAGTTAATTTGTAAAAAACTGTTTAATTCTGGAAGTAGGAGGAAATAAACGTTATTATTATAATTAAATTAAAAAAATAGGACTGTCAGTTTTGATGATTGAACCTTGCCCAAAATGAAGATTTTAATTTTAGACAAGGGCCTCTAGCAATACTGTCTATAGGACTAATTTGCGACCGGGCAATACATGTTTACATAGATATTTCTTAAATTAACACCTATTACATTATAAGTGTGAATTGCAATATTTATAACAAACAATCATGAATAACCAATCGCACCAACACAAATATAAAATTCATGAGATTCAAGATGTATAACGACGTTATCTGACAAAATTGAAATCAACAACATTACAATTTTAATCAAAGAAAAAGGAAGATCAGTCGTCTCCTTTGCCAGTTCATCTTCAAAAAGGTAGTGTCACACACTTACATTTCGCATTGTACAAGCCTCTAAAATATTTAATAAATAATATAATTTTAAGAATGAAATTTGCAATAAAATTAATATTTATCTATCTGTCTATTTAAAAATACCAATGACGGCAAAATGCTGAAAGGCATTAATATCGAACGAGCTTTAGAGACATATTGGTGAGAGGCGTGAAGTATATACAACGAGAGCTGGTGTACGGGCGTATTCACCTCATTACACTTTGTAATTAGGGCCGTGGGCTGTCGGTTGCGGCCCTGCACTAAATCACGACAGGCCGGTTTAATATGCGCGACCGTCGGCGTCCTCCGAATAACCATAACCCACAACACAATACGTTTATGTCCCTGTTATTGAATATTAAACGTTGAAAACAGTCGCCCTGTCTCGTGTTTTTCAATACACCTGTATATATCTTATTTTCTCACTTCATCAATAAGTTTTTGATTTCACGTTGTAGAGAACATATTTAACTAGAGACCAGGATCATCACGACGTCCTAGGTGTTCTAGCGGGTTCCATTCCTCACACGCTACAAACATGTACATGTATGTATTTACAATGAAAAAAAATTTGTATATCTATATCAGTTATCTAGTACTGACAACACAAGCTCTGCTTAGCTGGGACTAGATGACGCTGTGTCACTTGTTCTTTTATATTATTAGCTCTTATTCTATATGATAAATAAAAAACATTCTCTAAATGAGTATTTCTAAAGAATATAAATACAAAATTATTAATAGCACTAAAAAATACATTGTAAATTCATACTAATTGTATCGATATGTGTTAACATAAAAAGGGAGAATCATCAACTTTCATAAAGGAAACTTCATATTCTTGTTGCGACTTCCGACAACGCTAACAAGACATGGCAAGCACAAACAAGGCAGTGTTAAAAATGACACATCAGCTACTGGCGCATACGAGTGAAAGTCGAACCACTACAAGCACTGGATAAGTTGACGATGATAAGCATCGACACGCTCTTCACATTGTTCGCGCTCCGATACATAAGATAAGGCTTTCTCTGTTCGTCTCTCGAGAGCTACCGTGAGAATACATCCTCATAATCAAGCCAGTTCACATTTGCAAAACAGGAGCATCTGCCATTGAAGATAGCAATCTCGTAAACACACAAAATGTCTTAACTTTTTGGAATTCAAGGAGCAAGTATTTTATTACACTTATAAAAATTTGAATTTACAAAAAAACTCTTCTACAAGTTTTATTATAATACAATAATAATAAAAAAGATATAAATCAAAGGCCTCGAGGCCTTGAGGTTAATCAATACTATGCGAAACATTTTTAGTTTGTTCGGAATCGAATCTTCGCTAGACGCCAAGGAGCCGGGTACAAACCGGTACACAAGCCTGTTGCATCAGACTCTTCTACAGGAATTGCATTAAAACCCATAATTAGCGGCATGAGATCGAATTATGCTTTTATTTATATAATAGTGTGAAACGAATTTCTGTAGTTCCGTGAATTGAATACAAGATTTCTTGGATATGTTTACTAAATGATGGTTGCATTGACATCTGTATTGTCCTGTGTTTATAAAAGAATGGACTGTGTCGTGGTGATCTGCGTGAGTGGACTGCTAATGATGATAAGTACTGTTGTAAGGGTAATTTCAATGCATCTACTGCATTTATAACCATTTCCATAATGTGACATTAATGAATATGATATTTTATATATTCATAGCGTGATTGTAATTTATTGAATGAAAGATTTCGAAACTTTCGGCGCATGACAGTAAAAATACTTTTTATACCACAATATTTATAAGAGTTTTAATAATATTCTGACAGGGGTAAGGTGATTGTTAAATTGGAATTTTTAGACGACTTGAACCGGATCCATTTCTTGTCATGTCTAGGAATGATTGTTCCCGTGAAATAGCCTTCCCGCGCTAGAGATAATTATAAGATACTTCTCAAAATACATTTTGCATAATAAATTTTAGCTGGAATCTTATATCTTTTAGACATCTGTTCGTACAATGACCTCGAGCGGAGATTATATCTCAAAGAGGACAAACTTGTAAAATACATATTTTCTTTAGGATATGCTGTAACATTTAAATATTTCTTTTACATCCAAGAAGGTAACGTAGTCAAATGTAATAAAATTTTATTAATATAACGTAATATTACCATAAAAGCAGACAGAAATGTATTCAAAATAATAAATACATTACTTAATAAAGTAACTCATATTTAGAGTCAGTAGGTATTGCGTGCCTTGCGGATGTGTGATTCTCAAACAACAGGACGGTGCAGCGGTAGTAGGCGGATCTTACGACCTGTCGATTGATGCAATTGACCTAAATGGACATTAGGATTAGACCGGCCCATAAACCAGTAACAGTCAATTTAAACTTTTAATAGCTCTCATGGGCACTTCGGAGAACTATCCAGCGAAGTTATAAACTTTGATGGTATCACTTATCGATAAATCAATTGTTGCTCCTATACTATAGATTTAAATAAAACACAGCACAGTATTTGATTAATTTTAAAAATGGTAGGATGAGAACACGGCAACGCTGTTTGATCTATGTATAGCTATTTTCGATGGTAGCCGTTACGCTCTACCGACCGCAGTAGGGGGCTGTTTTTGCATATTTAGTAGCACTGAATTCTCTACGCACGTACAGATTGTCGCGACGTTCGTGTAGGGATTTTGGGAATTACTTATTTACTGTTCTTTTTCTTTATCGCATAATTTTAAGTTCTCGCGCAGTGATGAAAAGGCCCGAGTAGATATGTACTTTTTTTTTATCTATTCCAGAAAGGATATCCTAAAGACTTTGATATGAAAATGCCGTTTTTTATCA